TGTGTTTTTGTTGATTTCGGGAAGAGAGTTTTGGCGCCCAACTTAGCGTTTAAACGCCCACTTGAGCGTTTTAGCGCCCATTTGCGCGTTAAAACGGCCAAGGGCAGAGGCCTTTCCTCCATTTTACGAAATTAGAGCATTTTAGAGCCCGTTTCCGCGCTAAAACGCTCTCCAGCTGGGCAAAACATGCCCTCCCCTGTTTTCATGTGATACCATGGGAGATTTCCTCCCACTTTCACCATTCTTTTAACACCTAATAGACATTATATAATCCTTTCAATAAATGATTCTTAGTTCTTGCAAGGTATATATACATCAAAAGAAACATGCATACCCTCTCATTATATATATATATATATTTAATAATTACAATATTACATCATTGCAACATGTCTTAATTACAATTCATGGGACTTAGCCACAAAACACTATGATCAAATCTTTAGTTCCCATCAACAAAAGAAATACCAAAGAAAATGAGCATAGGCTAAGTCCATCAAAATAGAAGATGACATACATATAGCAATTGTCCTTCAAATGTAAATCCTATACATGGTACTACTACATGTCATGTATAATCCAAAAGAATGAAACATCTTCATGCATCTACTAATCCAAATATGGCCACTTGCCACCGGAGGCTCCTGCAACATCTTTACCTGAAAGGGGGTCCCCACAACACGGGGTGAGATATACGAATATATCACAGTAAACCAGGGGTCCTTGGAGCATCTCTCCACCCCATAGTTCAGTCACAGTGTAATAGCAATAACAATAATAATGCAATAATACATATCCATACAGTGTGCAACAAACATCTCCAGGAGAAATCCCTCGAGCTCTCAAGCTGTCCTAAGGATACTCAGATGCAAATAGTCCTACTGGCCAGCTAAACTACCAAGTATGAATTACGCATCGTCATGCAACATACAAAACATAGGGAAACACCATCCTATGCCATACCAAATGCATACACATACGTATAACAAAGCATTAAACTATTTCATTGCAATTATATACACTATAAACAACCACTACCCATTCAGGGCTTGGTGGAACAATAAAGGGATTTACACCCAAGGTCCGAAGGCTTACCTCAATTGCTTCTAATCTCAACCTTTGTTCTTCACCAACTCAAGCAACCAAGCTTTACAACAATACCAACAATCAATACCTACATCAAGGTACTAGACAATCTATCACGGCAATTCAATGAATACCAATATTGTCATCAACCAACCAAACATATTCACACCACAATGGTATGAACTTACCAATTCAAGTGAGCTAATCAAGCTCCATGGCTCCCTCCAATGGTTGATCAATCAAGATAGGTCCACTTGCCTTCAACCTAGAAGCACCATGAACACAATCAACACCAACAATCCAAGTAACACTACTTAACATGCAAGAACTCTCATGCAAGAACACCAACAATCCAACCTAGACGCACGGACAAGGAGCGACTCCTGACAGGCTTCCAGCGGGGGGTTACATGCATGAATGAATCGAATCGACACCCGAAAGAGAGGAATTCCAAAGACTGTGCAGGTATGAGACTGCACAGTTTGGGAATAGCTTATAAGAATTAATTGGTACTACCTATACTAACAAGATGCATCTTCTTTTCGGTAGCCCGGAACGAAAGAACTCCATAGTTAAGCGTGCTTGACTTGGAGCAATTCTGGGATGGATAACCTCCTGGGAAGTTTTCCCAGGAAGTGTGCGAGTGAGGAAAAAGCACACTGAAAAGTTCCGTGTTAGTATGTGGGGATAGTCATTGATTCTTGAAGCGACCGGGCGTTACAGGTTGCATTGGAAGGTCCACTGTCCATGATCCCCCACAAAACTATATATTGGGACTTTAGAAACAACATCATTTGATCTTTCTAGTATTATTAATCTTTTCCATCAAACACAGGAAGTCTACAAGCTGAAGATCCTCTAGCAATGAATGACCCAATATATTGGTTTGCCATCCTTCTTTTTCCTCTCACATTGTTAGGCGTGCTCAACCAAGAGGCTGAGTTCTGATAACAACTGAAGTTTGCAAAGACATAAGAAATGAGTTTAACTTCTGTTGAGGAATCCAAATGTGAGTGGGTGAAGTTTCACATTGATTAAGAATGGACTAAGTAAGCACCATATAAGTGGAAGGACCCGTGCACCTAATGCCTTAAGATATTTGGGTTTGATTGTGGTGTTCCGAGCCCACTTGATGTTGCTGCTCACTTGATCCATAGTTGGCGGTCTCTCTTAGCCATGAGCTCCCTGTGCACGACCCAACAAGTGGTATCAGAGCCAATGTTGGCCTGAGGTGATCCAAGTATTTGAACATATGGGAGACCAAGGTCTTGATGAGTGTAGCCAAGCCTTGATGATTGATAAACCCCATGAATACTCGAAGAAGCAGCTTCTGCTTGAGAGGGAAAGAATGTGGGCCTACGACTCACACTTGGGGGGGGGGGGGGGTTGAGGAATCCAAGTGTGAGTAGGTGAAGTCCCACATTGGTTAAGAATGGACTAAGTGAGCACCATATAAGTGGAAGGACTTGAAGATATGGGAGACCAAGGTCTTGATGAGTGTATCCAAGCCTTGATGATTGATGAACCTCATGAATACTCAATGAAGCAACTTCTGCTTGAGAGGGAAAGAATGTGGGCCTACGACTCACACTTGAGGGGGAGATGTTGAAGAATCCAAGTGTGAGTGGGTGAAGTCTCACGTTGGTTAAGAATGGACTAACTAAGCACTATATAAGTGGAAGGACCCATCCACCTAATGCCTTAACGTTTTGGGTTTGATTATGGTGTTCTGAGCCTACTTAATGTTGCGACTCACTTGACCCATAGTTGACGATCTCTCCTCACCATGAGCTCCCCATGCACGGCCCAACAACTTTCTTTCAAGTTTATTCAACTTTTTTACAAAACAAATCTTTGGTCAAACTTTTCTTAAGGTTAAGGACTTGGAGTTGAGAAGGGATAGTCCAAAAACAAGAGTTGAGAAGGTTCATAGACTACTCTTCTCAACTATATCAGATGAAACCAAGATCATCTGAGAACTTTCAATGGAAACTTTATAAAAACACTTTGCAAAACATATAAAATTGTATTTACACTTCTCAAAAGCCATTAAACAGATTTGAATAAGAGGGCTTAAGTTTCAAAGACTAAGTTTTGCCAAGTGGTCTTGCTGAAAACTTTGATTTTTTTTTTTTTTCTTTTAAGAAAAAAGTTGGACAGTAATGAAAAAGTATCAAAATAAAATATTGTTGGGTTGCCTATGTCTCTGCCTTTTATCAAGGCAAAAATATCTTAATATCCAAGTATATGTGGTCAACAAGTAAGTGGAGATTGGTGAGTTAGAATGTCAGATCAGAAAATCAACATGCCTTATAGTGCAAATGGATTTAATTATCACTTGATGATATTTTCAAAGAGGTAGGATCCTTTGACACCAGTGTCAAATTTGAAGTTTGACACCTCATCTGAGAGCCGTTAGATCAAGAAAGATCAATAATGTCACGTGCTTACAAATCAGAGTCGTTGATCTTTTTTGATCTAATGGCTCTCAGACGAGGTGTCAAACTTTAAATTTGACACTGGTGTCAAAGGATCCTATCTCATTTTCAATTTAAGAAAAATTATTTGAGATTGTGATTTAGACTAAGACTAATTAAAAACCAGTAACTTAAAAAGAACACAAGAAACAAATTAGAAAGAGCATATGACGAGAACAATGTATGAGTGAGGTTGGATAAAGGGTTCTCCTATTTTCAGTGATTGTGCACCTGAATACTATAGCAAATGATACTACAATATTAATTCAGTTAAACCAGAACGCACCAAGGTTTGCATAGTTTTCGAACTATCATGCAAATATTAACACTAATTCACATTCGAATATAGAATTCGTTTTAAGTTCTACAGGTTATGTTGGATGAATCCATTCATATAATCCATCGTAAAGTAGATTTAATTCCTTAAACCAATTCACACATTGTTCTGCACAGGTCTAACACAAATTCCTTTCCAGTAAACCTCAGCCGCAAATATTGCAGGAAAATGATCAGTAAACCAGCAATATGATCGGTGAAAATAGTACATGTAACAAACTGAAACTATGTTGACAGCAATTAAGTCATTTTTCAATTCACATAATTTCCCAAACCAATACAAATTTAGCTTATGTTCAAAGATACAGAAAACATAATACGTGATTCCTTGCTTAGATATAAAAGGCTACAAACCAAAAATACAATAGAAAATGAAAGAAATGAACTTAACAACTTCCACGATGATAGCCCTATTCAGCAAAAATAAGGACTTTGATGTCTTATTTTCCAGCAAATATGCCCAGTAGCACAGAAGCTTGTCCCCTTATTTTACTCTCACTCTGTCATTTCCCCTTCTGTCTTATTCAAATTCTACTCTGCTTTCACTTTTACCATACTACAATGTAAATGGAAGGTGTTTGTTTTGTGCCATATCTTTATTTTCTTATTTGTGACATGTAGGTCTCCGGATACATCAAAAGTGAGACAAAAAATGGTGTATGCCAGACCCAAGGACAGATTCAAGGGGACACTTGATGATATTCAAGTTGAACCTTAAGATCACCCTCATAAAATGTCAGTTTTTCATATTATCAATAAATTTGAGATAAGCATGCTTCCATGTCTTGTTCAAGAAAAGTACTACACAAACTCACCAAAAGCCACTAGCGAATCCAACTTCCACACCCATGTAGAACCTTTTCAATACATTGTCATCACAAAATTCTGTCCTTGAAATTAAGAAATTTCCACCTTATGATGTTTCACTGAAATACTTACATGACAAAAGTTTAATATGGTGATATTATTTGGGGAGGATTACATGGATAATAATAATAATTAGATATATTTCTTAAGTCTCAAACTAAGAGGTTACTCTTAGTGTTCCAATTATAATTTTATTTCTCACAACATATAAAATAGTAATACTACATTACAATTTTACAGTCTAAAAAAAGATTGCATTTTGTACCACATGTCATCAAGAAAATTAAAATAGGCATACCTCCACGATCTATAAATGAACAAAGGAGCAACCACAACCCAGAATCCCACAATAAATCCCAATGCCATACTCACAAAAAACCAATTCATTTCATGGTCATCACTTTTTTTTCCATTGTGATTGTCATTAGGAATTTGCACGTTGGAACTACAGTTGACAGGAAGTGGTGGGCCGCATAGATCGTTGCCAATAAAGTTGGATGCTTCAAAGCTTTGCAATTGAGTGCCTGTTGGAATTTTTCCCTTCAAAAGATTATAAGACAAGTCTAGCTTGCTGAGAAAGCTCAAGTTTGACAAGGATGGAGGGATTTCTTCGGAAAGTCGATTCCTTGAGAAATCAATAGATTCTAATGATCTCATATTGCCAATACTTGATGGAATTTGGCCAGTAAATTGATTCTTAGACAAGTTCAAATAAATCAATCCATCTAGATTTGTAATTTCTCTGGGTATCCCTCCAGATAAATTATTGTTAGAAATATCAATATTTGTTAACAAGCCAAGAAGATTTCTGTACTCTATACCTCTTCCTTTCACCCATATGAGTGTGCTTATTGAACTGAATTCTATCCCCCAGTCAGATGCATTGGTATAGATAAATGAATTCATAGTTTTGTTCTTTAGCAACATGGCATTCAAGTGGTTGAAACATTTCGGTATATTTCCAGACAAACTATTTAGTGCAAGGTCCAAATCCCGAAGAAAATTCATGTCACATATTTGATTAGGAATATGACCCAAAAATCTGTTTGATCGAAGGCGAAGAATTTTCAAATTTAAGAGCCTTTCTCCAACCCATGCTGGAATAATTCCAGTAAGTCTATTTTCCCCAAGGTCCAAGGAAATTAACTTACTAGTGTTCTTCAAAGTGGCAGGAAACATTCCTGATAACGAGTTGTTACGAATGCCCAAAGATTGTAGCAAAGCTAAGGATCCCATAGATGGGGGTAAGTTCCCAACAAAATGATTGCTTTGTAAATTCACATCCACAAGGTCTGGCCACATTATCCAACAGTCAGGTATTTCCCCTGATAAATTATTTGCTGCAAGATTGAGAAATCGTAATGGCATTGGCTTGTCTTGGCTTTTACATAGGAAATCATTCATGGATCCAGAGAATGAATTGCTTGAAAGATCTAACCAACTCACATCAACAAATAGACGGGGTAATTTTCCATGCAAGTGATTAGAGCTTAGATCAACAGATTCGATAGATATTGGATTCTTTAAAATATTTGGTAGCTCACCATGGATATGATTGTGAGATAGGTTAAGATCACTAACAAAAGAAATTGTTTCCCAAAACCAAGAGGGGATAGAATCTGAAATCCCTGCGTTTGACAAATCCAAATAATTAAGATACTTTTGTGAGTGAATCCATGAGGGAAAGCTGGGACCTAACTGCCACGAGTTCATTCCCAATTCGCTAACCTGAAAAATAGGGTGCCAATTGGGACCCACTTTTAAAGTGAAATTGTTCCCTGATGCATCAACCTGTTCTAAACTTGTAAGATTTGCAAAGTCATCTTCCTTGACAACTCCTTGAAATAGATTGCCATCAATTAAAAGTTGGAACAATTCAGAGAAGGATCTAAGAATTCCAAATGGATTTCCATCCAATTGATTTTTGGAGAGATCAAGAAATCTTAATGATGAAAGTTTTCCAAATGACATGGGAAGTGCCCCATGAATTGAGTTGTGGGACAAATTCATATTGACAATATTTTTGAACAGTCCAATTTCATCAGTCAGATTGCTTGAAAGTTGACAACCTGAAACTTCTAGTTTGGTGAGTCCCTGGGAAACACATGGAGCTAGAATTTCTAAAATTTTATCAAACTGTTGGTTGAGTTTGAGAAATGAGAAACCTATCTCCCTTAAGTTGCAAAGATTACCCAAAGAAGTTGGAATTTTTCCTTCAAGTTGATTACCTGACAAATCAAGAACAACTAGTGAAGTCAAATTTCCCAGGGCAACAGAAATAGACCCACAAAAATCATTCGATCCTAGGTTCAAGAACTTGAGATGATGAAGACCGTATAACCAATCAGGTATAGAAGACGAGAATGAATTTATAGACAAGTCAAGATTTTGAAGAAGTGTGAGGTTTTGAATACCATCAGGAATCGGACCTTGAATGTTATTTTCTCTTAATTGAAGAGAAACAAGTTTTCTCAGTCCAAATATCCACTTTGGGACAAAAGAATTTGTATCAGAAAGATCAAGAGTGATGAGAGATGAAAAGTTTACTGTGGATGGCTGATTATAATGATGGAGTGTACATCCAAACAAGCGTAACTCCATCAAAGAAGGAAGAGCTTGCAGAGTCTGCAACCAATCAAATGACTTTGATAGATTTGCGTAACTCAAATCAAGATATTGAAGGTATGAAAGACCTGAAAGCCAATGAAGATTTTCTACAAACAGAGGTTCACCGTATTCACTTGGAAGGTCAAGACGGAGCAAATTCGTGAGGTTCCCAATTTGATATGGAATTTCTCCACTGGCAGCATAGCTGAGGTCGAGATAGAGCAAATTGGAGAGATTCCCAATTTCATGAGGAATATTCCCATAGAATCCAGCGTCTGAGAGGTTAAGGTAAGTTAAAGTAGTGATTGCACCGAGGAAACTAGGAATTTGAATGGCTCCAAAATCATTGCCACCCAAGTCCAAGTAACTCAAATGCTTCAAATCAACCAAAGAATGATTTATCTCACCACCAAACATCGACCTCAAATAAGCTTTATAAGCTTCACGACTTTCCAAATAAGAGTAATAATCATCATCATGTGGTGAAGTGTTGAGGTTAAGTTGAAGAATGTGGGATGTTACTTTACTGCAGACAACTCCAGCCCAATGGCAGCAATTTGTGTTGGAAGCATTCCAAGAAGAGAGCCTATTTGAAGGATCAATCAGATGAGCTTTGAACCTCAGAAGTGCATCACGTTCACTTGGAATGCACGCAATCGCAGAGGAGCTTGTGGAAATGCCAAAATGAAACGTTAATAAGGTAAGACAACAAAAGTGAGCAAAGAGAACGGTAAAGATGGAACAATTCATTATTACAGTAAACAGGCATACAAAACAAGTTGTATAAGTGTTTCTTTAGTTGTGTTTTCTCAGCATAAAACTGCTTTCAGTTATTTATATTGATGCGGGGCTTTTTATTTTTTCCATTTTCATTATTTTTAACTGTTTAATCTTTGCATTATTGTCGTAACTCGTAAGCAAGCAATTGACTTGAATTCTAAGATTACCAGAAATTTTGTATTTATTTTATGTATCTCAATATAATTTAATATTGCTATATTGAATTGAGAAAGATTATACTTACAACCTATTTTCTTTACAACCTCTTACAACCATATATCTTAACCGTTGATTTTCGTCAATCAACGGTTATCATTTATTGTGATTTAATAATTAATTAATAAATTTAATTTGAGAAAGTCTTAACCGTTGATTGACGGAAATCAACGGTTAAAATATATGGTTGTAAGAGGTTGTAAAGAAAATAGGTTGTAACTATAACCCTCCTCGAATTGAATTAATAAAAATATGTCATATCAAAATTAGTATTACATTGCGTATCTTTTCAGAAGTAATCAATTTAAATAGGTAGGTTCAACATAATTTTACATCATATCAAAATTTAAGATATCACATTTTTCTTTTTTATATTGAAGGATGGGTGAGACTAATCCTCTTCGAGGAGGAGACATTTTCACTCCGACCCCAAAAGTATTCTAAGAATTTATCTTCACTAAGGTTTGAACCCATGAACACCAAAGCAAACCCTTCGGTACTCAGTTGCCTACTGAACTATCCTTGGGAGTTAGTCACAATTAAAGCTCATCGCCCCTCCTTAAAGATGTATTTGATGAAAATCAAACTCAAATTTTCCCCAACTCTACTCTACATGTGTTGTCAATTGAAATACAGTCATTGAATACCCTCATTTTAATTTTATATATGTGTATGTATGTATTCCTGTCTTAATTTTTAAGATCTTGAAAACCTAAGATATTCTCATATACAAATTATAATAAATGCTTAAGAAATGTTATTTTAATTTGTACACTAAAATATTAAAAACATATAGGATATTATGTCTACTTTTTTCGTATCTACCTTATTCTTTTCTAATACCGTTAGATCATAATATCACAATGAGAGAGAAAGTCTGAAAGTTAGTTGAAATTATGATTTAACGGAGTTAGAGATGAGTAGGTAGTGGTATAACAAAAAAATAGGCAGATATCATATCCGTATTACATAATTAATAAATTTATTCTTACATTTCAACATTAAATTTCAAAAATGGAAGGTTAATCTTTCTTACATTGTACCAGGGAAATATCTTTTGTGAGCATCAGACTTTTGTCACATCCTGTTGCTATACACTTTTGTTTTAGTCTTCCATGGTGTACAAGAGATATTGAAAAACTTTATATGGACATTAATTGTGGAGTGCAAAATCTAATATTTTTGGTCACATGAAGTTTGGGAGGTTTAGTCTTCCACCTTTTTTAAGTCTTTAGTCTTTTATGGACAACAGATTAAAGTCAAGTCAAGTAAATAAGAGCAAATATAATTAACGGACCTCAATTATGGAATACAAAATCTAATTTTAAGACTCTTTTATTCCAATCCATTAAATTTCCATTCTCTTTTTTAATGCAACAAAATAACACTCTTGTTATATACATCCTTAAGTGTTTTTTTTTTATCCCATAATAACTAAAAATGGTTAATACGTAGTCGTTCCAGCTGTTGGAATTTGAGTTCCAATAGTAAAAGAATTTTTTTTTTTTTTCTTATAGGAATGCAATTAGAGGGACATAGAAAGAAGTTATGTAACTTTCTAAATTCTTCTCCTATTTTCTATCTTATCATGTTTTAAGATGCAATTTCGGATTTTCAGACTTTTTCGCTTCATCCTTCATCTGTTTATGGCTGTTTATATATTTAATTCTTCTTTCTTTCTTTTTTCCTTTTTTTTTATAAAAAAGAAAAACTGATCACTTATATATATTAAATAAATTGATTATTATATAGAATAGAATATATGTGAGGATCGACAAGGTTAGTTTCAACTCGTAAAATTGAAAAAAGCTAATTTGCTTAGCGAAAGGAAAGTTTACTAATAGGTACATTTAAAAGAGAAAAAAAAAAAAAAGGAAAGACATATATATGCTGCAAATTTTTACCTAGTCTATACCATATCTCACGCTGTTGAAATCAACCATTTGCCAAACTAATGTAACCGTTTACTCAAATCACGAAAATCACGTCAATCTATCTGTATTTCACGAATATCACGTCAATCTATCACGTCAAATCACGAATTTCACGTCAAACATACGTATATATGTACAGTACTGTTTAATTATTTGATTAATTATACATAATTAGGTGATTAAATCAACTGAATACATAGTTAGTAAGAGTTGTGTGAATGTAAAATCATCCTCAACAGTTGAAGGTTGTTGAATGATAATATATAGAGTAAAGGCCTAAATTGGTCCCTGACAAAAAATGCGGTGGCCAAATTAGTTCCTAAGAAAAATAAACTCAAAAAAAAAGTCCCCAAAAATGTCAAACAGGTCCCACGTTAGTCCTTCTGTCAAATGAAAATTGACGGAGTGAGTGACGGTGCTGATGTGTCACGTTAAGTGACGTGCGGTTGCCCACGTGGAGTGCTTGGATGCCGTCGTTTGGGTAAGCTCAGCCACGTTAGACACAAAATTCTCTTTCATACAAGAAACGTCGTCGTTTAGGGTTTAGGGTTCAACTAAAACCAGAAAGCATGGCATCGAATCGAAGGTTGAACGCATGAATTTGGGGAAAATTGATTGACGGTTTAGGAAAAATGATTGACGGTTTAGGGAAGGTGGGTGTATACTGTTCGATCTAGGGTTGAACTTTGTGTTTATGCCATTATTATGTCTTCTGGAAGGGGGAGCTTAGGTAGTTCGTTTGGGTCCAGTAGTGGAAGAAGGAGAGCTACTCCATTGTGTAAATGTGGGCTTAGCTGATCCATCATCATTGTCTTTGTAATATGTTTATATCTTTGTAGTAGGGTGGAGTGAAATGCACATTTTTAATCTGTAATATGTATGCTTCTCTGTAATGGAAAGACCACTGTTGGGATGTAATGAGATGTTGATTGTTCTTAAAATGGTTAATGTCCTTGAACTTGATTGTTCATAAAGCACAATTTGCTAAGTATTAAGTTATCTTGAAAGCCAAATAAAATGTCAAAAGACTGTATGAGCTTCTGTGGATTGAGGGAATGCCAGTAACAACAAGGATTAAGGGAATTAAACAGAAGGGGGGAATGAGCTTCTGTGGTAACAGCTTTTGGTGCCCCTTTGGTCTTACTGTCATGTGTCTTACTGTCATGTGTTACAGGGACTAATTTGGGTCTCGATGAATTTGTTAGGGACCTATTTGTCCAACTGAAAAAAATTACAGGGACTAAAATGGTCCTCGACCCAAATTGTGGGGGACTTATAAGGCATAAAAGGGAACCCAGAATTCAGGTATGTTTACACATTACCCCAAAATGACACAGCATACAAATATTGTAACAAGACAAGCAATGAATCAAAAAATAGTATTGTTTGACAATATAGAAAACAATCATGACAGTGAATACAGATAGTAACCAAACTGACATAATCCTCCAATCATTTCACATCAATGACAACAATTCCAAACTAGTAATGACATAAGAGATTTAGTAATCCATAAAGCATATTCCATTGAAATCATGACTGTGTACTTACAATTGGCACTGACATAATAAACCATTAAGTAGGAACACTATGTATTCCCAAAAAACAAAGTGTTCATACTTAATATGGCCATAACCAGAGGCATACAAAAAAAAGTCATTGGAGAATAATTTAAACAGGGCCAAAACCAAAGTAAACCAAAAAACTTGTCTAATTACAATTCCAAGCTAATGGCCTAATAACAAAAAAAATGCCTACTAAGACAATCGAACTGGCCTAATGTCAGTGATTACAATTCATGTTCAGTTATGTGGGGCTGGCCTAGGTGGCCTGAATCCTGGTGTAGTCATGAAGCTCATGAATCTGGCTCTGGTGCCACTGCTAGCTGCAGCTGTTGTCTCACTGGTCACTGCCTCAGCAGGATTGCATGGTGGTGGGCTGCTGGCTCTTGGTTCAGCTGCATTTGGTGCATGCTGGCTGCTTGTCTCTGGTGGAGGGCCCTGACTCATGCTGATGAGGATCTCTTCAACTGACCCTGACTGGCCAACTTCAACATTAACCGGTTTAGTTTTTTTTCTTTGATCCACCAGCAGGTCCCTTACATGTCTTGGCATAATGACCAGTATGACCACACTTGGAGCATTGAACTGTGTAAGTCTTCTTAAGCTTCTTGTTGAACTTCATAAGCTCTTCAGTTGGATCCTTCTTGCGATGCTTTTTTGGACGTCCAATAGGCCTTTTCAAGCGTGGAGGAAGTGGTTTTAGGGCATCACAAGCTGGCCAATCTTGTTGGGAATTGACTGGGTTCAGAGTGTGTTCATAAGTGGCATGCAAAGCATCCACTGTTAGCCATTGGTGAACATGATTTTCCACAGGTTCATTCTTGTGTGCAATGGCATGTTCACAAGGCAATCCAGTCAGCTGCCACACATTACAGCTGCAAGTTTGCTGAGTTAAATTCACCCCAACACGTTGACCCTTTCCAGAAACTTCATACAGATCTTGGACCAAGTTTCCAGTCCATGTTGGTGTCCAAGAATTGCTTGCAACCTTCAACTGGTCCAGCCTCTTCTGCTGTGCCGGTGCTATCTTACCCCTAAAGGTTTGTCGAATCCTCTTGTGCGCTGCCATCCTTCGCATTATGTAGCACCTCAATTCCTCACACAATGTCATTATAGGTTTGTCCCTATAATTGACAATCTTTGCATTCCACACCTCAGCCATATTATTCGTGATGTTGTCACATTTAGGCCAATGACTGTAATAGGCTTTAACCCATGCTGAAGGGTGTATATTGTCAAGATACTTCCAAGCTGGTTCGTTTAGAG